AGTGATAGCTGCCAAGTGTGCATAAGGAAGCCTCAACCCGGAACGATACGCCCCAAGACAGCTGGAGCTGCAGGGAGGTCTGCAGGTGGCAGAACCTGGCAGCGCTCAGGATTTGAAATGGTAGGTACCATGGAGGGCAGGGTGCAAATGGTGCTGTAAACAGGGACATCACGAACAACGGACCCAACTTCCCCATCCCCAACCACCACCTGGCACAGGACCTTAAAGCCAGGCTCATCTTTAAAGATATTGACTCTCCGGAAAATGTAACTGAACTGTAGAATAGAGAGTCCTTTAAACTGATTTGGTGCTATATTCAAACCTTAACGGAGTGGAAGTTGGGGAGCAAGTTCCTGATCCCCCAAAATGAGGGCAAAGTGCCAGGATCTTCACCCATGGAAGTGACCCCACTGTAATGTGAACCAGGGGATAAGCCCGAGGCAGGTAGACACCACCATCCCGAGAGGGAAGCTCATGCCCAGCAGATGCCCCGGACACCATACCCTAAACCAGCAGACCACTTCCGCCCAGCCCAGGGCTTCCACGCCAGCACAGCACACTATCTCCAGCCACTCGGCCCCGCTCAGAGACTCTGCTTTCCTCTGACAGAATAGAGTTGGCCGTCTCTCAGCTGTCACAGCTCTACTCCCATCTTCCATCCCCGTGAACCTACTGGCTTCTGCACTAAAGCAGGTTTGCTGCACGGCCATAAAATGTTTTCACTTTGTATTCTATCTTTGATCTCTAATCATTTTTATTTTTTAACACACCTAAAGCTTCAAGAACCCTGGGCTATAGTAGGTGATTAAGCTCCTACTTCGTTCTCACAAGCGACAGACATGCAATATGAAATATAAGCACGTGCATATTTTGGAGAGAAGACAATGTGTTTGAAGGCTCCCATTGTTGGCATTTGTTGAACACGGTCACATCAGGTGTTAGGGCAGTGTGTGCACACACACGTGCACGTGCTTTAATAGCAGAGCCTTTTTTCAACAAACTACAGAAGCCTGACACACAGCACTGATTAAGAAGCTGCTGCTCTGATTAGAGCATGGAAGGGAACCACCATCCCATCTGCTCAGTTTCTTTCCCCCTTGTGGCCCAGTTACTTTCTCAAACCAGATTTCCAGAGAGCACAGTTAGCAACTCCAACTCAGAACAGCCAACGAGTAACAGCCAACGAATACACAAAACAAGTAAATGTTTCACTTTGTAAAATATGTAAAGTAAAAAACACGAGCAGTTATCCTTACCTGCACGAGTGTAAACACCGTCTGATGAAATCGTAAGTAGATTCAGCCAGTCAGAACTCAGCAGGCATCACCCCGATCTCCACCTACATTTAATGAGAGTTACGTGTGAGCCGGCGCCAAGTGATTTACACGGATCCTCTCATTCAGTCCAAACAACAAAACCACAAGGCCAGGATGGCTATTACATTACCCACATTTTTACATGTTAAAGAACTTGATTGAGGCCTCGTAGCTAACGGGTGGCAAGGGCCAAGAGCAAAGCCAGGCGTGGACTCTAAGACCATGCATGCTCTTAGCCACCATGTTCCGCTGGGCCCCATAATAGTTGCTTATGGCCTTCTACTTTTTTTGTATTTTCTGAACTTTTTACTTGTCCTAACCACTTTCATAATATTAAGGGTATTTTAATTTGGAAGCAAAAAAAGGATAGGTAGTAGGGGGAGAGTTAGTTCCTTGCATCCAAGAGAAGCAGGCAAGGCAGGGATGCCCTAGGGTGGCTTGTCCAGCCTGAGTTGCCATGGGAGTCACCAACAGGCCAGCACTAGGCAGGACTCAGCGGGAATTCTTCACCCCAGCAGGGCTCAGCGCTCATCAACAGCCAGGTCAATCCCAACCTTTTGCTCCCTCCCTTCCCAGCAATTGGAAACATTAGAAAAACTTACTAGTCCTGAAGTTACCAGTCACACAGCTATACTGAGAAGAAGGGTAGGAGAAAGGAGGAGATGTGAACCAAAAATCCTCATCTACCTAAAGTCGACAAATCAGCAGACAGCAGTATATGCATATTATTTAGGAATATGAAAAATATTAGCGGAAACAGGTAAAAATATTTAAAATTGTTCTCTCTGGGGAGGTAATAATGTGGGAGGGCCAGGGGCTAGCACATGAGAGATTGCTGCATTTTTATAAGCATTTTAGCACCATTTGGCTTTTCAAATCAAAGTGCCAATATTGTTTCTATTTGTAAATAATAATAAAACCTACCCTTCTTAGTCTTCTCTTTTAGCTTACTGGACTCCAGGAAACTCAGGTAGAATGTGGTTTTTAATGTGGTTTGTGGAGCCAGGAGATCTGAGACACAGAAGATGGGAGGCACCTGGTGTTGTGGAAGAGCCATAGATCTCGAGTCAGAGGACCTGGATTTCAATGTGGCTTTGCTGCTCCATGCTGTGTGGCCCTGGGAAAGGTGCTTAACCACTCTGGGCCTCTCTACCCCACAAGAGCATCAACATCCCATATCAACGAGAGGGTTAAATGACATAGATCCCAACACAGATTCGTATACTAAGCTCATGGTGAGGATTTAAGCTGTGGGTACCTGTGAGGCCTGGGCCAGGTAGATGAGAGCTGTGGGAAGACTGAGCCCCAGATAAGAAGATACAAGTTCCTTGCCCATGAACGAAGCCCTGAAGCTAAGCCCAAGTCTCTGGACTCGAGTTGAAATCTCCTTTCTCCAGACTCTCCCCAAGTTCCTGAGACTGTGGAGTATATTTTAGGATTCTGTGCACTCAAAAGACAGGCGAGTGTCCCAGGCTTCAGTCTGCATCTTTCTGTGTGAGCCTCGCCCAGACCCATGAGCCCATCTGACCCTGGTACAAAGTCTTTCCTCAATTCTGCCCAATTAGAAAAAAATCTTAACTACTTGGCCTTATGGGATCCTCTTAAAGTCCTTCCTGGCCGGGCCCGGTGGCTCATGCCTGTAATCCTAGCTCTCTGGGAGGTCGAGGCAGGCGGATTGTTTGAGCTCAGGAGTTTGAAACCAGCCTGAGCAAGAGCAAGACCCCATCTCTACTAAAAATAGAAAGAAATTAATCGGACAACCAAAAATATATAGAAAAAGTTAGCCGGGCACGGTGGCGCATGCCTGTAGTCCCAGCTACTCGGGAGGCTGACGCAGAAGGATTGCTTGAGCCCAGGAGTTTGAGGTTGCTGTGAGCTAGGATGACACCACGGCACTCTAGCCTGGACAACACAGTGAGACTCTGTCTCAAAAAAAACAACAACAACAAAAAGTCCTTCCTTAATTCCACCCAATTAAAAAAAAAATCTTCAGGCTGGATACAGTGATTCATGCCCCTAGTAATCCTAGAACTTTGGGAGGCTGAGGTGGGAGGCTCACTTGAGGCCAGAAGTTTGTGACTGGCCTGAACATAGCGAGACCTCATCTCTACAAAAAATTAAAAAATTAGCCAGGCATGGTGGTGCACACCTTACAGTCCCAGCCACTCAGGAGGCTGAGGTTGCAGTGAGCTATGATGCTGCCAATGCACTCTAGCCTGGGCAACAGAGCAAGACTTGATGTCTCAAAAAAAAAAAAACCCAAAACTTCAAATTATTTGGCCTTAGAATCAAACCTGGTAAAACCTTAGGTTCCAAAGAGAAACCTCCTGGCTCACTGCTATATCAAGTTCTGTCACAGGCCTGATGACAGCTGTCATTTTAGGACAGGCAGGCCCGGCCTTCCCAGAAACCAGCCCAGCCTGTGGCAATTTTTTCCAGGCTCTGACTGAGACAGGAAACCGGCAGACCCAACTTGTTAAAAAGTTGCAAGAGCCAAACCAAGGTCTCTGACAAAAATAGGAAATCAGTCTCCAGTAAAGAAACTGGTTAAGACCAGCAAGAGCCAAGATGGTGACATAAATGACCTCTGCTCACCTTTGTCGATTATGCTCTGCTTTTAATGTTAGCATACTAAAAGAAACTCCCACCAGCGCCATGACAGTTTACAATCACCATAACAACCCCAGATGTTACCTTATGTGGTATGAAAAGAGAAGGAACCCCCTAATTCCTGGAAATCTCCACCCTTTTCCCAGATAACCATGAATACTCCATCCCTTATTTAGCATATAATTAAGAGATAGCCATAAGTAGAGTTCACCAGCAATGTACAGCTGCTACTATGCCTTCAGGGTAGCCTGCTTGCTGTCTGTTGTTTAATAAATGTTGCTTTCATTTTCAACTTAAGGCTCGTGCTTGAATTTTTTTCTGCAGGAAGCTAAGAACTCTCTTGCCCTTCCGGCCAGATCCCAATTTTGGGGTCCACTTTCCTGTGTCATGAGCATTTCAAAGAGCCCACTTCTTCTTCTCACAGATGAGGGACCCCTGCCGGCTGCCTGGTTGCCAACAGTCCCTTTCCCCCTCCTCTCTGTGGAATCGGAGCCTGCACTGGTTTGGACATGGCTAGAGGCCTGGCAGGTCCAGTCACCGTAGGACCTCTTCCTTCCCCTCCGTCACCTGTGACTAAAGAGACCCACCCCGTCAGACAGCACCATTCTGGCTGGTATGTCATACAGTGAAGAGGTAGAAGGATGCCCTGTGTTTAGGCATAGAGAACCGAAAACAAGACTTCAGCCCAGGCCCAAGGTATCTCCACGAGTGCTGGGATGCAATGGAAGTTTAGTATAAAATCTCCCCAAAGGTCCCTAGCAATACAGACTGCTCTCTGCATAGACATGTTCGCTACATAGACAGCACATGGGGGTAAACACACAGACCTACAAATTCAATCCCCCCAAAATAAAATTTATTCTTTCCCACTTCATACCTGGCAAGTGTTGATCATTATGTCACTTCATAAAATGATTAAATAAAATACATCTGGATCAGAGAAAACCTCACAGAAACCAGCTTTGATTCCATGAGCACAAAGTAAGGGACCTGGGGGGCAGGGAGACCAGGACAGTAGAGAGAGGATTAAGGGGATTTAATTAGCCAGTGGTAAAATGTCATTTTCCTTCAATCAAGTGATTCTCGTTTTATTCTTGTGTCCTGAAAATGGGGACGAAGAATTTTTTCATTTTGAGGAATTCTTTTTTTCTCCAATGAATAATTCTTAATCGTCTGCTTTTTAAAAGTATAGTGCAATTTCTAAATAACCATTTTTCGAATTCAGACTGACACTGACAATTCCCTCTGATTGGGGTTTCCCAAATCACCCACAGAAAGACGGCTGCTCTGCTGAGAGCCTGCCAGGGAAACCGGCCTGTACATCTTGTGTCCAAAAGGATCCACTTCCTCAAAGGTGTAGCCAGGGGGCTCAGGGTATGAAGCTGGGCACCTGCCCATTTCCTTGGGAGTAAAGCTGATGGCGTAGGTGGTCTGGCCCTCCACAGGGATATTTCCTCGAGGGCCGGACCAGGGGGGCTTACAGCTTTTGGTATTGCTGGGTGGGTGGGGCACATAGTGGGCCCGAGTGGTGGTCAGGCAGTCCAAGGGCTCCGTGGGAAGGTTCAGGTGGGGAACGGGCTTGACTAGCTCCGTGCGCATGCTGGCCCACTGCTTGTAGTCATCCTTGGTGGTGGTGGAGCTCTCGAAGCGGCTGCTCTTCTTAATCGGGAGCACCGGTCGGCAGGACTGAGCCGGGGCACCCTTAGGGTACATGTAATGGGACTGCACTGTTGTCAGAAGATCCATCTTCTGTTCGGGAGGGACATAGGCGATGGGAGTTTTGGAGAACATCTGGGGTGTTGGCCAAGCTTGGTACTTATCTCGAAACTCGGTGGTGTTAGAGAAAGGCATGTCTAGCCCAGGGGGCCTGGCTGGAGGTTTCAAGCTCCTGGCAGGCGCCCCCATCAGGCCCCGGTAGGACTCTTTGTGGGTGGTGAGGCTCTCAAAGGGGATTTCACAGGGCCTGAACTTCTCTGCCTCATGCACAAAGCGCTTCTCCACAGGGTGGGCCACATAGTTCATCTTGTAGTTAGTCAGATCCTCCAAGGGGATGTTACAGAGCTTTGGTACCGGTGGAGGTTTACAGCTCATGGTGTTCACAAGGCCCTTTATGGGGTAGTCATCCTGGTGTGTGGTTCTACTATCAAACCGGGTTGATGCTGGCCGGTACTTGTATTCTGGACGAAGCAGTTCTCGTCTCGGTTGGTTCCAAGGTAAATAATCAGCTGAAATTAATGCAGAAGGGATAATTAATAACAAATCAGGTCACCCAATTTGCATGTACTCCCATGAGGTGTTCTTTGAAACAAGGGAAGAACAGAGAAGATCCCTGCTACCACTAGAACCAAGAGCTTGATGTTTCAACTCTATGGTACTTGCAGGCTACTGTGAAGGAGAGACAGATTTACAGAAATTGTTATCACCCATCCCCAACACACATACACGATGCTGCACACAGGGATTTTAGAAGGTCCATGGTTGTGGGAGGATCCAGGCAATACATTCCTGCAGAGAAGTTCAACCACTGGCTTACCCTGACCCAAGAACCATTTTTTTCTTCTATAGGGAAGGTACCTTCTCTGAATCAGCATGGAGTAAGTGGGAAGATGCTTCTGATGTACTGAGACAGGGGATTCACAACTCACCACTCATGGGCCACCTACTGGACCAACCAGGCCTACCTGGTCATCTGTGGGATGACAGCCATTGTATCCCTATAATCCTCACATCCAATCCACGTAAATCAAATATGCCGCTCCAAGGGAATACAGGCGTTATATTGGCTGGTAAGAGAATAACAGCAGTTGCCACTTGTATAAAACTTATTATATAACAGGCAGTGTTCTAAGTGCTTTGCATACTAACTTGTTTAATCTTCAGACAGTCCTAATGAGGTGGGTACTATCAAAATGCCCATTTTACAGATTCAGAAACAGAGAGACACAGAAAATTAGGGAATTTGCCCCAGATCACTTGGCTAGAAGGGGAAAAGCATGAATCAAATCCACATCCAGAGACCATAATCTGACCCACTATCTGGAACACCAACTTTGTGCCAGTGAATCGTGTTCATGCCTTTCCATACACAATCTTTTTTCATCTTCACAATAACCCTTTGTGATAGGTATGACTGTTTCCATTCTACAGATTTCCAAAAGCGAAGGCTCAGAGAGGCTTAGAAAAATTTGCTGAAAAGTCACATTGCAAGTGAGTTAAGTTGGAATTTAAACTACATAGTTGACTCCAAAGCCATGCTCTTCTGACAGCCCATATCACAGTTAGGGGCACTATATTTCTAGATGGAGTAAAGGTTAAAGAAAAATAATCAGGAAAGATTTGCAGGAGGAGAACTTCAGAATGTTAGAAGAATGAAAAGGATTGCCAGCTGTATCTAGGGATGTCCATCTCAAGAGGAACCTCTGCTGTGGGTCTGCAATGGCCACAATAAAGGAAGTCTTGGACCCAAAGGAAATCTTCACTAGAGATGGCCCTCAAGCATCTTGAGGAGACACTGTCCTCAGTCAGCACAGTAGAAAGCTTCAAAGTGACTCTACTATACAAACCCTTAGGTCAGCTCCAAGACTGAAAGTCCAGGTGAGAAAAATAGGATGGCGAACCATACCGCCATTCAACCGCCTTGGCACTGCTGCCATTCTTTCCATAATACTTGGCTCACATCCAAGACCTACACTGCCCTATTGGGCCCACAAATTACCAGGCCTAAAGTAGCCCATGTGAGCCCTCTGAATCCACAGGGAATTCTCTTGCACTTTACAAAGAGTTACAACAGAAGCAGCTTCCCAGGAGCTTTGGGCATATATAGCTAACACTAGTAGAGTCTGCAGGCACAATTTTCAACAGCTTTACTGAGATATAATTTGTGCAACATAAAATATACCATCTTAAGTACACAATTCAATGACTTTTATAGAGTTGTGTAAACTTCACCAAAATCCAGTTATAGAACATTTGTTACCACTTCTTGGCCTTTTGGCTAAGATCAAGTGTAGAAGATTTGCATTATGCCAAAAATATCAATCATCCCCATTTGTAGTCAATCTTCACTCCCATCCCCAGCCCCAGGCAACCATTAATTTGCTCTTGGTCTTTATAATTGTGCCTTTTCTGGACACTTCATATAAATGGAATCACATAATCATGTTTTTTGTCTGGCTTCTTTCACTTAACATAATGTAATTGAGATTCATCCATGTTGTACTACATATCAGCAGTTCATTTCTTTTTATTGTTGAATAGTATTACATTATACGGATATACCCAAATTTTGTTTATCCATTCACCAATTGATGGATATTTGAGTTGTTTCCACTTTGGGGGTATTATAAAAAATTATGCTATGAATATTTATGGAGAAGTCTGTGTGAATATATGTTTTCATTTTTCTTGAGTAGATACTGAGAAGTGGAATTGCTAGGTTGTACAGTAATCCTACGTTTAGCTTTTTAAGATACTGTCAAATTTTTCCAAAGTGGAAGTGCCATTTTACATTCCCACCAGCAATGTATGAATATTCTCATTTCTCCACGTCCTCACCAATGCTTGCTACTGTCTGGGTTTTCTTTTTTTATTATAAATATTCTAGTGGGTGTTTAGTTGTTATCTCGTAGTTTCATTTACCTTTCCCTAACAACAAATGATGCTGAGTATCTCTGCATGTGCTTATTAGCCCTTTATCCATCTTTATGGTAAAAAGTCTATTCAAATCTTTTACCCTTTTTAAAGCTAGGTTTTTGTCTTCTTACTGAGTTCTAAGAGTTCTTTGCATATTCTGGATACAAGTCTGATACCAGGTATGTGACTTATGTTTTCCAAGGCTGTCATTTACTTTTTCATCTTCTTAATGGTGTCTTTCAAAGCATCCAAAGTTATTGAATTTTGATAAAGTCTAATTTATATTTTGTGAATTATGCTTTTGATGCCGTATCTAGGAAATCTTTGCCTATTCCTAGATATCATAGATTTTCTCCTATTTTAAAAGGTTCATAGTTTTAGCTACTACATTTAAATTTATGATCCTTTAATATTTGAGTATAGTGTGAGGTAAAGGTCTAAGTTCATCTTTTCGCATGTGGATATTCAACTGCCCTGGCATCATTTATCAAAAAGACTGTCTTTCCCACACTAAAGTGCCTAGGCACCTTTGTGAAAAATCGATTGACAGTAGACATAAAGGTTTATTTCTGTACTCTCAATTCAGTTGCATTGGCCATTACATCTGTCTTTATGTCAATACCACACTGTCTTAATTACTGTAGCTTCATAGTAAAGTTTTGAAACCATGAAGTATAAATTCTTCAGCTTTGTTCTTATTTTTCAAAAAAAACTTATAGCTATTCTGGTTTACTTGGATTTTATATATAAAATTTAGAATCATCTTGCCAATTTAAAAAAAAAACAAAAATAAGCCTACTGGGATTTTGATAGGGATTGCACTGAATCTACAGACCAGTTTGGGACAAACTCCATCTTAACAGTATTAAATCTTTCAATTCGTGAACACAAATGTCTCACCAGTTTTTAGATTTTATTTAATTTCTCTCGGCATTGTTTGGTGGTTTTCAGTGTATAAGTCTTACGCTTATTTTTTTAAAAAGTATTCCAAGTATTTTTATTCATTTTGAGGCTATTGGGAAGAGAACTGTTTTCTTGATTTTAGTTTGATTTTCATTGCTAGGATACAGAAATATAATTGATTTTCATATACTGTTCTCCAATACTGAAATCTTGCTGAACTCATTTATTAGCTCTTATATTTTTTGTGAATTCCTTAGTATTATTTGCATGCAGTATTATGTTGTCTGAATAAGAACAGTTTCACATCTTCCTTTCAAACCTAGATACATTTCTTTTTCTTGCATTATTGCACTGGCTAGAACCTCCAATACAACGTTGAATGGAAGTGGTGAGAGCTGACATATTAGCCTTGTTCCCAATCTTAGAGAGAAGGCATCCAGTCTTTCCAAATTAAGTATGATGTTTTATAAGTAGAAGGTTTTTTGTGGATGCCCTTTATCAGGTTGAGGAAGTTTCCTTGTTGTCCTAAGCTTTTTAAGAGCTTTTATGAGTATTCGACCTTATCAAATGCTTTCTATCAATCAAGTAGTTGTCTGTTACTTTATTAATATGGCATGTTACATTGATTGATTTTCTGATGTTACTGATTCTGTAGTTTTCTTTTAATTAAGAGAAAAAAAAAATCTTTTAAATGGTTTAAAAGTATACATTTGCCTAATTACATTTACCAGTACTCTTTATTTGTGTGTGTAGATTTGTGTTACCATTTGGCATCATTTCCTTCCAGCCTAAAGGACTTCCTTTGGTATCACTTACAAGGCAAGCCAGCTAGCTATCAATACAATGCCAGTCTTTGTTTATCTGGGAATGTCTTTATTTTGCCTTCATTCTTGAGGCATAATATTAATATCACTGGATATAAAATTCTTGGTTGATCTTTTCTTCCAGTACTTTGAATATGTCAACCCACTGCCTTTGGTCCTCCATTTGTTTCTGAAGAAAATTCACCTGTTAATGATGTCATTTTTCTACATATGATGAGCTGTTTCTTTTTCTTCTTTTCAAATCTTTGCTTTAAATAGTTGAACTATGATGTGAATAGGTTTGGCTCCCTTTGTGTGTATTCTATTTAGATTATACCTCTTTATTGATAAATCTTCATGACATTTGAGAAGTTTCAGCAATTAACTCCGCAAATATTTTTTTTCCTACCCCTTTCCCCTTTTGAGGCTACCATTATGAGTATGTTGCTATGCTTTATGGTATCCCACAAGGCTAAGTTTGTTCATTTTTATTTTTTTGTATTCTTCAGATTGGATAATCTTTATTCACCTATCTTCATTTCACCGATTCTTTCTTCTGATGGCTCAAATCTGCTGTTGAGCCCCTGTAATAATATTTTGTATTTCAGTTATTGTCCTTTCAACTGCAGAGTTTGTCTTTTTATGATTTCCCTTTATTGGTATTATCTATTTGGTGAACAATTGCTGTCATACTTTCCTTTATTTCTTTAAACATGGTTTCCTGTTGTTTTTTGAGTATGTTTATAATAGCTACTTTGAAATATTTGTCTGCTAGTTCCAACATCTGGGCTCCTTCAGAGATACTTTTTACTTGACTGCTTTTTTTGACTGTTTTCCCATGTGTGAGTCATACTTCCCTGTTTCTTTTCATGTCTTATAATTTTTTG